GAATATTCGGGGCCTCTTTCGAGTGAATCTCCCTGTATAAAGTTGGTACATGAACCTGTTGGTACAGTTCACAACAAATTAGGTTAATTGGCAACCGGGCAGTAACATGGCTGGGTATAAAAAAAGCATCCCAAAAAGGCGAAGTCTTTCAGCAGAAGTGAAATTTTGTGGGCAAATGACGTTTCTCGATGTGAAATCACAAAGAACTAGGAAATTTCTTCATCTACGGTACATAATATAATTAAAAGATTCAGAGAATCCAGATAAATCTCTGTATGCAAGAGACAAAGCCAAAAACCAGCACTGGCTTGCTGTGATCTTTGGGCCCTCAGGTGGTACTGCATTAAAAACAGAAATGATTCTGTAGTGGAAATCACTGCATGGACTCAGAAACACTTCTGAAAAACACTGTCTGTGAATACAGTTCATTGCTGCGTCCACAAATGCAAGTTAAACCCTACCCTGCAAAGGAGAAATCATAAATAAACAGGATCCAGAAACGCTGCCACCTTCTCTGGGCCCGAGCTTATTTAAGATGGCCTGAGGTGAAGTGAAAAAGTGTCCTGTGGACCGAGGAATCAAAAATTGAATTTCTTCTTGGAAATCATGGGTGCTACATCCTCTGGGCTAAAGAGGAGAGGGACCATATGGCTTGTTATCAGCACACAGTTCAAAAGCCAGCATCCATGATGGTATGGGGGTGTATTAGTGCACTTGGCCTGTTCACTAGTTAATCATAAGGTAGACTGGTTTTGTTGAAAATTAAATTATAGATAACAAGTTGGTTAGTTTTGGCTAAAAAAACAACTGGCAAAGCTACTGAATGAAGAGCCAAACGTGTCTTTATGATCTGACTCACTGAAAAGAGCTGGAATGACCACTGTGGGTATTAGAGATGGCACCAGTCCAGTACCAGGTATCGGGTAGTGTTGGTCATTCTGCTTCTTCTTATGAGATGAGCTAATTGAGCTATTTCAATCTATACTGTATAATATACTATATAAATGATCTAAATAGCATAAATTCAAATTGTAGAAAACAACAGCAATTTATAATATAACAACTGATTCTAAACTTTCGAAGACCCACAAAGATCTTTTGTTCACCCCTACCTGGATGCACCGTTGGAGGTGGCTGCACCACCCAGTCCGTTGGTGGCCAGTCCCATCTGCTCCTGCACAAGGGTGTCACAGACATTCTTCAGAACCAGGCTGACCGTGGGCTCGGTCAACGAGCACCTCTTCCTGCAGACAGGACAGTCGCGCTTGGTCCCCTTCTTGCTCCAGAACTGGTGCAGACAGGCCCTGCAGAAGCTGTGGCTACACCGGAGCACCACAGGGTCTGCAAAGATCTCACAGCACACAGGGCATGACAGCTGGTCCTCCACAGCTGCTCGAGAGCTAGAGGTCAAGGCGCGGGGTCGAAGGACCGCCGTCACTTTGGGGCTGAGACGCACTGCGGACATCCCAGGTTGTGAGGAAGCCCTGGGTCTTAAGGGCATTGCCACAGCAGCTACAAACACCAAGTCTAGATTCTAGACCAGAGCTATCAAATTCAGCTTGCAGAATGTTTTTTTCTTCTGAGAGATCGAATTCAACCTTTGAAAAACTGTTGTTTCCCCTCTTCTGAGAGATCAAATTGGACTCAGAAAAAGTGTTTTCCTTCTTCTAAGAGAAAAAAATCAACTCACAAAACTTGGTTTCAGTGTTTTTACAGGTCAAATTACAAAAAATGGTATCTTCTTCTGAGATCAAGTAGAACTTAAAAAAAACAACAAAGTTGTTTTCCTTCTTCTTCCAGATCAAAATTCAGCTTACAAAAAGTGGTTTTCTTTTTCCATAAGATCCAAATAGACTTGGAAATTCTTTTTTTCCCATCCTCTGACAGACCCGATTCAACGTACCCAGTGTGTTTTCCTTCTTCTTAGATCAAATTCAACTTAAAGTATCCCTCTACTATCAGAGACATTTCAAATTCCAAAATCTTTACCAATTAGTTGATGAGTTGGATCAAGCGTTGAATGAATGCCAAATTCTGTGGTGCTGTGACCCTCCTGAATTGGACACCCTTGTCCTACAGTGTAGACCAGAGTCTTAAAAAACATGCGCCGGTTTGTCCTCAACCTGACACTGACGCTCGCTTCTGGGACTCACCATTTTACTATGAGCTTCCCACCCACCTGTGTAGGTGTTCCACCCTAGAAGAACAGGTCAAACATGATCCTTTCTAGCTTTTTATAGCCCTTTGTAGGCCCGTCTCCATCCACTAACTGACCACACTAGAGTAAATAAGACCAACCCTTATGTGCACTTCACCCTGCCTTATGGAGGTGAGGTCGTCATGCTGAGATCATGGCAGGATCAGCGGGCACTGAGGGAAAACAAGCACTGCTTGGGAAATATGTGAGATGTTTGCTGTAAACATCAGTGTTTTGGAGACTCGGACAGTGTTGACTATAGCAGGCACTGCTGCCCTTTCCACAGGGCACCACACAACGTATTCAGAGCTCACACATCCACATCAGAAACACCGTCAATCATTTCTAATTGGATTTTTATTTGAGGTATATTAGTGCTGGTTAGGACAGAACGATTTTGGAAAAATATTTCATTGCAATTTTATCTGACCGATATTGCGGTTGTTTTCTATATATTGAGGTATGGGCTAAGAAGACCAGCATATACTTCTTCTGGCTTGAGGCTTGAAGGCTAAATACAATATCTTTTTTAGTATCAATGCAATATCCAAGTTAAATAACCCAACAGCCTGAAGGTAAATTGTGGTTGTGATGTCACAGCACATGGATGTCTGGTTGCTTCTGTTTAGTCAAATTAATCTAAAAGCAGTTCATAAGCTCCATGTTACTAGGTTAAATTTCCTTTTTTTAAAACTTGCACTGTTTCAACGTTGCTGATAACAGGCTATAAGATTATAAGAAACACTGCAGCTCTTGCAATTTGAAAACTGCACTTTTTCATTTGCCATTTCATTATAAAAGCTGTTAATCTTTCAGCCCTAGTGCTGGGAGTTATTATTCACAATTATTTCCAAATATGTCACAGTATTACATTATCAGATGAAACTGAAATGATCAAATTAATGAACCCATGCTTAAGGGCTGGTACGCTATACAAGAGGATGAAAGAATGTCTCGATACCTGATATACAGTTGTATGCAAAAGCTCGGTCAAATTACGTGTTGATTTTCTATGTGAAAATAAGTGAACACATCCTCTACAGAGAACACACTTCCGCATATTTTAATTCCCAATACTGTTTACTTGCTGAATGTAACATATATGTTTTCTACTATTTTTTTCCCAAAGTTCTAAACAGAAACATGCGTTATTTAAGTTTGTTCCCAGCAGAGGATGTGATCGTTTTCACTTATTAACAGAACATATATTTGACTGTGGGTATTCAAACCTTTGCATACAACTGTAGCTTGATTTGATTGTTCTGTTTCCTTCTGTTAAAACTGATTCAAATGGAACCTCACATAATAATGTAAAAAGTTGACTGGACAGAAAACTTTTATTCTTTTTTATTCAAGTCTTATTGTTGTTTCCAAAATTTTGCATTACTTAACCACTGAGATGTAAACAAAAGCAATCGGAGTGCTTTGATGTGAAATGGTTTATTGTAGAGAAACTTGCTGATTTTCTTTAAAGTGGTGGTAATAGGAACCAGGGGCCGCTTGCTATCCAAAAATGTCTTCTGAGTTTTTGTACATAACGCTGATAATGATAAAGTAGTGGTAAATCTGGAAGAAAAAAAAATCTGTTGCAAATCTATTTTGTCAAGAATGGCATATTTCACATCAAACTCCTCTGAATTACTGTCTACATCAGTGGTCTCCAACCCTCCTTCTGGAAATCTACTTTTCTGCAGCATTTAGAGCCAACCTGCATCTAACACACTCACCTGTGGTTTCAGCTATACTTCGTGGTAAGGCAGATCTCCTAGACCAGGGTCGGTGGCCACTTGTTTACATCTTAACAACTAAATTACACAGAATTTTTCAAAAATCAGTGGAATCTGTTCAGTATATAAATCCTTTTTTGCACTGAACAAGGCAGGTGTGATAAAATGATCTTAATCATTATACTCTGTCCACAGTACAATGAGTTTAAAGGCACTAGAGCACTTAAAACACCTCCAAAAGAAAGAAGTTCGTTTAAGTCTGCTGCTAGAGGATGTACACCACATGAACATTACTATGGGCTATAGTAAATCATCTCATCAATTTCAGCATGTAGAATGTCAGGCCCTTCAACCCCAGGTCAATTTGTCCCTCTCTTAACTAGGTCAGTAAGTACACACAGGCCTCTCTGTGAACCCAAGGGCTTTCCGGTGTCTAGAATCCCCTATGCAGATAGACTAAGGCCTACCCTTTGTGAGAGAATTAATACTCTGCCAATATTACCTATTTGATTATTGATTACAATATCTAATCTGCTTGATTACTGATTAAGGGAATATTTATTCAAAATCTCCATCAAGAAGAGGTTTCTGTGACCTACCATGTTTTCATCATTGTATAAAAAGCTGCAAAATGCAGTTTGCATTTTGTTTAATCAAGGTAACAACTAATGAGTAAGATATTCCTGTGTTTTTTTTTTTTCAATAAGGTATGACACACACTGTATAAACATTTCAGAATGTTTTGGCTTCGTTAGATCACATAGATTACATACCAAGATCACTAAAATACAAAAAAATACCAAACTCACCAAAATCACGTAATTAATGGAAAAGAGTAGTTAAAAAAAAAAAAACAAAGCCATTTTTGTGTTTGCCCTTAAAGGGTTAATGATCGATCAGCCTCCAAAACATGCACACACAAACAATTCCAAGAGTTCAGGATACCCTCACTGATGTCATTCAGCTAGAAAAAACAAGCCCAGTACTTCCAAGAACTGCCATAAGAAAACACACACACACCTCATCACACAGAAAAGAACAAAACATGAACATCAGATCAATAAAAAAATGACGACTGAAGATGGTACATTGTTCATTTTAATGATGCTGAGAAATCGGTGCAATGAGTAACAACTGAGTAAACATCGGAAACAGTATTCCTGCCCTGAAGACATGACGGACAACATATGACTCTGAATCTTGATTATTATTGCAATTTAACGGTAGTTCAAGACATTGAAACAGTGTAACATTGAAGTCATCAAAAACCAGAACAGTATCAGTGTAACAGCATCTATCATCTTTTTTAAAAACAGGTTTTTAGGCTATAATACATCCAAACGAGCACTGAAGGAAGACAAAGCAAATCATCCACAACAGAACTGTTTTCCGCTGTTGAAAAAGGCAACAACGAAAGCATTTTATAAGTAAAAAACAATGAACTGATTCAAACATGAAATTAGATTAGCCAGAAAGAGTGTCACAGCTAAATACTGAAAGCGAACGGCTTGGTTCCTCATCACATGAGCAAGAAGTCCTCACTTTACAGAGCTCAGGCTTTGTGTTCTTGTCATTATGCAAGTGGAAAATCTAATCTTTAAACTTTACTACACCCCCCTACCCCAACAATGTGTCCTATGTCCACATACATTTAACCACATTTGCGTAATTGTAACATCATCCTACAACACTGTAATAAAAGCTACAGTGAGATTCCAAGTCTTGAGAAATCTCTCTCTCACCTGTCAAAGCTTAAAGACAACGTCTTTGAAATCCACACCGTCACGGCCCTGTTCCAGTTTGAGATTCAAAGACCTTTTTTTGTCCAATGTACAACAACAGAGATGATGCAACAGCTGAAATACTGGTTGTAATACTCATTGAATACTGCTTTAATACTGATCTCTTACAAAACGGTTTCTGGAAGTTTGGCATTAGGCTGCAGTTTACCAAAAATCCAACAAAAAAGTAGTGTTTCCACCTTTCTCATTTCTTTGCACGTAAAAATAAATTCATTCACCTTCATATCATGTCTTGAAGTAGGAATGTGGGCCATATTAAAGGAATACTGCTTTTCAATCAAACCAATCACATCATATCACATCAGTAGTGTACGGTTCATTACCATGGACAATAATTTCTCTACTCAGAAAAGAACAGAAAACTAGTTGAATCAAAACTCACTTAGAAGCCAATGGACAGATGCTGAAGCACCCAGTCATTGAGTTCAGCTGTGTGAGTGCTTTGGTTAACCATTAATGGACAAATCAACATCTGGTAAAAGAATGTTAATTTAATAAACAACAGTTCCTATGTGAACAGGTGAGTTTTTCATTCTAGTTGAGAAATGTATTTGAATTTTACACATGACGGCAGTTGGTTCTGCTAGACAGGTCTTCTACAAATGAATCACCTCTAAAAATAGTGGCATGCTGGACCATTTTGAGATTACGACCATGCGCCATATCAAACACATTCAGAAGCAAACATCCACCAAGACAGTAAGTGCGTTTGCATGCAGTTAATAATCCGATCATTATTGGATTTTGACAGTTATCTAATTATTCGAGTGGCCATATAAACAGCATACTCCAATTTCTTAGATTGGATTAAGGCCTTGAAATCCAATTACAAAATCCCAAAAAGATGGATTTTAGCTCAGTATTGAGATTTTTCAGCACACGTATACCCTTACTCTGATTTTTCTCAGTCTGCGCAAGTGTGAAAACAGAGCGCTGTCCCAAAAATAGCAAGCATCATTTAACACAGCACCAACAAAATGGCAAGAAAACACTTTGAGTGATGCTGACATTGAATACAAGCTTAACAAAATGAAGGATTTTAATATTTTTCATCTTATAGATGATGTATGCACATATTTTCCGCTAAAGTGACTCAATGTTTTAATAAAAGCTGTAGCATGTTGTTGACGTTTTACATTACATTTAAATGATATCTTCTTCTGTAACTTTATTGGCAGGTTTCAAAGCAGAATTGCCTCATGAAGACCTGGAGTTTTCTCCAGTGTACAAAATACCCAATGGTGTTCGGGGGTGGGGTCCCATATTGGCTGGCTAGTTTTCAGACTTACAGATATGCTACGGCACATTGTAAAGTTTTTTTTTCAGAGGTATCCCGGCCATAGTTACAGTTGCTAAGCTGTGAAGGACCAACAAGGTGAACCAATTTGCTACAGCACCACCCTGAGGCAGACCAGTCCTGCATCTGTAGTTAGTTTAGAACACCAAAGATAGAAGCTCATTGTTTCATGGGCAAAGCACTGACAGCATGACGCCAGAATAAGTAATTTTGATTTTGAGACATTCAGGGGGTCAAAGAGGTTAATCACGGGATCCTGGACGACCCCCCCCCCGAGAACCCCCTGTATTTCGCACCTTGGTTTTCCCTTTATCTGATTACCCAAGTGCATGTAAACGCATTGAATGAATTACTGACAAAATCTGATTTACTGCAGTTACTGGATTATTAAGTGCATGTAAACGTCCTCAACTATTTGGTCCATAAATGAAGTGTGATGCATGGCGATGGGAGGAAAGCACACAAGTGTGCAAAATTATGGATGTGATGGACAGTGATGGCTTTCTAGAATTACTGAGGAACACCGAACCAAAGCCAGCTCAGGGCATGGAGGTTATGTTGGTTTTAACTTGGCCTAGTAATGAGTGGCAAATTTAACTTTAGAATGTGGAACTTTCAGCAGCTGTATATTCCAGTCATTTTGTCACCTTCAGAATTTCTGGTCATATAATCATTAACATATTACAAGCTGTCAGCCCCTCAGCTTAAACAATACCAACTACTTATGTAGGGCATGTTTAATATGGTTTGGGGTTGTTTACTTCATGTACATACCTGATTCCACCTACAGCTGTATGCAGAAGTTTTAGCACCCCTGTTCAATTTGCATGTTTAGGTGATTTTCTATATGAAAATAAGTTAACAAATTCTCTACAGGGAACAAACTTAAACATGGCATTTCCCTAAAACAATTTTAGAGCACAATTTGTATTTATCTGCTAGATTTAACATACCTGGAAAAGAATGAGAATGCCATATTTTAATGTTTTACTTTGTTTGCCAATATGTTAAGTTCAGCAAATAAACAGTAACTGCCCTTACAATGTGCTGAAGTGCATTTTCTGTAGAAAACAAGCTTATTTTAACTTAGGAAATCAACAAAACGTAATTTAACTAGGGGCACACACTTTTGCATACAACTGTATCAGTACTACATTCATTGGTACATACAAGGTATTTTTTTTAAACTTGGTGCATTAATACAGAATTCAGTTGATGTGTGCAGCCAGAAGTGTGCGTATATCTTACAACGACTTCAAACGTGGCTCAGCCATTCAGATTTCAGAACCAGAACTATCCATTCTATAACTCATATTTTGATGGGTTGCATCCTTGATCCCTGCATCCCTACAACATATGCGTCAAACTGATTGGCTGTGGTAACGAACCGCTAGCTACAAATGCAGCAGACAGAGATTAGACTGAAAAACACTGGAATATTCCTTTAACAAGCCATTAGGGGGGAAAAAAGTTTACAGTGCAGTTGCTTTTGCTCAGTTTACCACCTTCAAAATGACTATTTTTAAACCAAATCACCAACATCTGTGGCATGCTTTCATTCTTCCCAGACACTCATTTTGATAATTATGTCTGTACAGAGCCATTATTTAGCAAATGGGACCTTAAATTTGATATGACTGTCTGTCTGCCTGGAGTCAAACATTAGCTCTCTGTTAGATTACTATGTTTTGGGAAAGTGATAAGGAACGTCTTTTTAATGTTTTCCAGCCTTGCTTATGCCCACAGTATCAGCTTTGTCAAGGACTCGTTTCATACATGCATTCATAAGATATCTCAAAACATATTTCAAAACATGAAGCTGTGCAGTTTTAAAGTGGAACTCATCTGGACTCTTATGACTGCTAGTGTGTGGAAACCTTTCTTAGAGGGGAAAACCCACTTTTTTAATCAAAATTTCTGTATAATTACATCATTTAGACTGGGCTGCTTCATTATAGAGAAACTTACCAGTTCAGAATGGTTCACAGAGGTGGTGAAGGGAACCAGACGCCCGTAGAGTTTTTGTCTCTAAAAGCTATACTACAGAGAGTTATTAGCTATACTACAGAGAGTCTGATAGCTAAATATTGTTTTATGAAGGTTTTGAGATATTGAGGCTCACAATAAATTTTTAGAATCCATATATGGTAGAGAGATACATGTAGGGCACCGAAAGGCAAAAATACTCCCCAAATATATATATATATATTTTAGTTACCACTATTTTTACCATTACAAACTATGCATATTAAGGCAAACAAAATGGTTGTATTTGCATTCCATTCAAAACTACTGTCAAGTTTCTTTACAAAGAATTATCTCAACAATTTATGCAGTTATATTCCCATAGCATACTTCACTTAGAACAAGTAATGCCTTAATCATTTGAGAGAGAGCATGCCACAGATTTTTTTAAAAAATGAAGAAAAGCAATTTGGTTCAAATTTGGTCAAAATCACTGAGCCTTCAGTCCTTCATATAAAAACAAGACAATATAGAGAATATAAAATGACAGTACATGCTTGAAGGAGTCATGTAGTGTAACATCTAACAAAGTGGTCCAAAACTGCACTGCGCATGCACATCAGCCAAAGCAGCTGCACACAGTGTATGGCTGTGCATTAGGGCTGCACAGTATATTAGGAGTGGGCAATATGTCAAAAAGCCTTATCATGATACTTGAAATTTTCAGGATACACAATACATATCGCATCAACTCTGGGCACAAACATTTTTATTCATTTCATCACTTTGCTACACTAAATCCAATTAAACAGGTCTAATTATACTCTTTTTGCAATGAAACATGCAGTTGTCCAGTGTTTAAGTATTGACAATACCCAATGACATGCTCAGAGATGCATATGGTTTATCATGATCATAAAATATCAATCACACTGCCCATCTGTACAATGTCTTGTTTCATGATAGTTGCCTGTGCAAAACTAATATGGCAGAAAGCTAAAAAAAACTACAAAACTACTGCCACCAACACAATATTGTTAAATTACATAATATGCTTCTCTGAGCATATCATGGATATCATCAGTACTTAAAGAACATTGGCCAACTGCATGTTTAATTACAAATTATTAGCATTACTAGTCCAGTTTAACAGGATTTAGTGCAGTAAACACTACTGATTCCTTACTGTCTGTTCCAACTTACCATCCCTCTAAAAAATTAAATATCATGATGCGTATCATGTATTGAGAAAATATTATTATATTTTGCAATATTGAACACCCCAACCATGACATACTTTTATATGTTATGGGGCTGGAAGCAATCTGACAAATCTTGAATGATCCAAAAGAGTTTCTGTGGATCAAACAAATCAAACTATGCACTTTACAAAGATTCGCCAACATGCTTTACTATACATATTGGAAGGTATACTGCAACAGCAATATCTTGCAAAATAATTACAATATGAAATTTTGCCCATATTGTGCAAGCCCATCACAGTGCAGTTCATACAGCGCAACAGTGCAACACAGTGCAAAATGAAACTCACAGTTTCTCGGGATTGACCGAGTAAAGCCACGGTCCCTACAAGTCTCCCAGTGGTATGTGACACCTGGAAAAGGTGCTGAAAACCCATTTGGAATTTTGCTAGTGGTTTTCTGCTAGTGGTACAATGGCGAGACTTTTGATAGCAATTATCAAACACAATTAGTGTCTGAAATTCAGTGAAATACAAATCTGCAAATTTGTACTTGCACATTAGTGTGTCTTTAGCAACAGCATTTGAGTTAAGACGAGGGTCAGAAGAAAGTGGAATTTAAAGTTCTGCATACAAGTTGCATAAAAACAAACAAATAAACAAACAAAAAAAAAACCAATAAAAAAATAAAATAAAAACACTTACACACTCCCAGAGTATGCTCCCAACAAAAGACAGCTGAAGTATTTCGGTTTGTAAAATTCAACTATAAACAGACACTATAAGGGTGCTATAGTGTTTTCTAGTAGCACTGTGACTGGTGGCTGTTCCACCTCCTTTAAACGCCTCCGCCTGGATCCCATTTAGTTCCGCTGTCTCCCATTTCTAGCACTAGACCCGACCGACCTTTGCATCACCGATGGCTCCCCACACGTCAAATACAAATTCATCCGGGAAGGCAAAATCTCCAAGTGTCTCGTCCAAGGCCTCGGCAAACTCGTCTGGGTTCTTTTTGTCTTTCCCCAGCTCCACCATCGTAGCAGCTGAGTGGAAGAAAAACAGCCTCAGTCACGACAGATAGGCACAACAATAAAACACATATATTTACACACAAAACCAGAAATAACAAAAAAAAAGATATGGCTCAAAAGCATATCACCTACCAAGCTCACTATCTCTTATACCCATGTAACTCTCCAGCAGATCGTCAACCTTTTCAATAGCCTTTTCCTCAAATGCTGAAGGCTGGAAACAGATTTTTAAAAAACAGTAAATAAAATTTAGCATTCAGTTTGTCAAAATGTCTGCACACGTTTAACGTTAATACGTCAGTGAAATAACTAGTTTACAAATGTAGTCAAGACATTTGTGTTTATTAAGTTATGCACTGCAACTACAAGGCTAATAAGGCTAACAAGCAGCAGAAGAAAGTAGAAGAAAGCCGTTCTTTAACTCTGCCACCATATGAGTTACTTACAGATGAGATACTGCGTCCACATCCCAAACATTTAACCAATTTATCAATCACTTTATCAATGTCAGCATGTAGAACTGGAGAATTCTGTGTGATACAGTGTTTTCTATCATTATAATAAACATGCACAAGGCTTCCTTTATTGTTGGTTGCACCATGTTTTTTCTGAGCAAACGCACAAGCTCATTCATTCAGAGCACAATTTTGATTGGTAAGCGTTTACTATAAAAAAAACTAGTGATGCAACACTACTGATGACTTAAACTCCATGTATTTTCTTGTTCAAAAACGGTAGTGTGTGGCAAAAACTGAATAAAACTCACAGAATTTTCAGTTTTGTTGGACTGTATTCTTTATGTACCAAAATAAGTGCAACAGCAGTGCTGAGAAATTGTGTATTAACAGAAAAGAGCAATAAACTAGAAGAATTTTTTTTGCATCGATCTCAAAGCATTAAGTAATCTACAACAGACTTGCTTATGTGGTTTCTGACCCAATATGTCATACTCTATAAAAAATATACAGACACACAAAATTCAATACGATGGAATCTACCATTATTAGCTATGCAACTTAAACAACACGTTCGGACACTAATTACAGTGGTCTACAGCGGTCTGAACAGGAGCTTAAAGGAAGGAATAAGACAAAAATAAATCAGACCTTTTTGTATAAAGGCCTAATCATGGTCAGTGTCACAAATTTGAATAGTGACATAGAAACAGTACAGAATCCTGAATATTTTCAACTATTTTATTTATTTATTTTTTTAATGAATTTTAAAGTGATCTGTTGTTTATTTCTAGTTTAAATGAAAAATCCTAGATTGTCAATAGAGTCTCATTCTTTTGGACCCCACTGTATGTCTTGATTAATCAACAATATTTGGCTTAAGAGGTAAATTGTGCAAACTTCTGCTTTAACATGCACACTAACCAGTTCCTCTACTGTTGCTGGTCCTTTGGATCTCAGACGTAGTGTTCCCCTGCCAGTGCCCAACTGAACCCCAGAGCCTGAGCGTCCCCCAGTCCGCTGACTAATCATATCTGAGACAGATTAATTTCAATGTATTAGACAAAACACTGCTTAACAACACGGTCATTACAACATATATTTTGTTCCATAACAAGCTGAAACAGATATTTGAATACCCCTGGTCAAATTACATGTTTTGTTGATTTTTAAAGTGAAAATAAGTTAACACATCCTTTACAGAGAACTTAAATATGGCAGCTGTCTGCAAATTTTAGTGCACTATTTCTGTTTATTTGCTGAGTTTAACATATTGGCAAGAATAAACATAATATATACAATATGCCTTAACTTTTTTCTTCTAATATGTTAAATTCAGCAAATAAACAGTAATTCTGCATTAAAATGTGCAGAAAAGTGTTCTCTGTAGAGGATGTGTTAACCCTCTATTGCAGGGTGTTGCCATATGGCAACACTGACTTTACCTCAATTTTACTAAAAGCAGTAATGTAAAACCTGTGTTCTCCTATTTAATTGTGGAAAAATGGGCCTTTTACTTTAAAAAGGACAAATAGTTTATGACATTATAGTATAAGTTGGATTTGGACAAGTATAAGTTGGATTTGGGAATGGTTTCAATAAGAGGATGTTTTCAGAGGAAAAATTAGATTTTATGTTTTTTTTTTATAATTATTCTAATGGTGCTATAGTACAATTGTGCATTGTTGCCATATGGCAACAATTTACCAAATACACCAATTAAAAAAAAAAACAACTTGTTTCAAATATTTCCATTACTTAAGCGATTTTAAATAACAAAAACACATTAAAACATTTTTATCCTGTTTGAGTAATAATTCATGCAACAGAGGGTTAACTTATTTTCACTAACAAATTCACAGAAACAATATTACCAATATCATTATAATATGTAAAAGCTAGCAAGAGACCATTAGGCAAATGAGTTCATGTTAATGGGTCCCCAAAGTGGTGTTTTTCAGTCTTTATAAAGCTTACTAATAACTGTTCATCAAATTAGCCCTATAAAGTGATTTTTTTTATTCAATATTGTGTCAAAAACAAATACCAAAGGCCTTCAATGGTTCCACCAGCTTCAAGACAAAGTTCTTCCCCTTGGGCAATTCTTTGAGCATCTTGGCAACCTCATAGTGTCGACAGCCAATGAGTATCTGACCATTGATTGACTCAATCATGTCTCCAACGTTGATGACCTGGATTTGATGAATGATACTGCCCTCCCTTATTCTCTGCAAAGGAAACATCTATTTTTAGCACATCCTGGCTTCATTTTGTCTCGACAGTAGCAGCTTTTCTAAGCACTCCTTTTCTTCTCCACAAAATGCATTTCCTAAAGAAGATCATCTGTCTGTCTGTCTTACCTTAATGAACGCATAGCCAGCTCCATTGTCAGTGATTGTGAGTCCAAGAGCATCCTCACCCTTAAAAACCTCTACTTCTTTCCTCTGGCCCTTCACATGAGCAAAAATGAAGTCCTCCAAGCCAATCTGGCCACCGAGGAGTTTGTCCATGTCCACTTTGTGAGTGTTCAGTGTGCAAAACATGACCTAATACAAGAGGAAAGAGGTCATTAAAAATACAAGACAGCGAACACAGCCCTCGTGAGAATACTGTATGGATCTTACCTCTGCAGGAGGAATCCCAAATGCTTCTCCAATCTTGGCATAAAGCTCACGGACATTACCGAATCCTTCAATGCGGCCTGTGGGGCTGCCGTGTGCCAGCTGGGTGTGGAAAATCAGGCGAGGGCGAAGGTTAGTAGGTGGGGGCGGCAGGCCTTCCTGTGTCGCACCCTCAGCAAGTCCTACACCACCACCATCAAGTCCATCCAGTCCAGGCACGTTAAGACCAGCACGGATGGGTTCTGCCTCCTCATTTTCCACCAGTGGAGACGCTTTCTTCCTTCGTCCCAAACCAAGTGGCATTTTGGATGCTTCACTAGTGTTCAATTGTATGGAAGAGCAGGCACGATGATGTGTCAACACAGCCTCACAGCTAATCTCAAAGAAGTCTCTGAATGTTGCCTGTTTAGATTCAAGCCATTTAAATGGGAGTCTGCAGACCTAGAAATTCAAACAAAAGATATAAAAACAAATAACAACATAAACACATATGGCACATAGGGGTGGGAAATATGATGATAAATTACATCACAATGCTTTTTCTGAGCATATCACTTAAAGATCACTGATCAACTGCATGTTTTGTTAAAAAGTGAATGGAGTTAGGCCTGTTGAGGTGGATTAAGTGCTGTACAGGGTGTGAATAAAAACCATTACACTTGTGGAAACTGATCGTATTTTTTTTAAAAATGTGGAACTACTGGTGTTTTTTGTCTTTTCTGACTTCCAAATTAAGCAAACACCATATCCCAACAAAAAATTGCAAATTTTACATTAAAGTGGGTAGCAGTGTGATGTATGTAAACCGCAAAGAAACACAGTGTGAGTGCAGTACAACTCTGATACTAAGCTTATCACTTGGACACTGTGATTAGTAACACTGAGATTAATAACTGACCATCACATTGATTTATCAGTCTACTCAGGCTTTAGCAGAGCTCAGTAACACTGAGATTAATAACTGATCACATTGATTTATCAGTCTACTCAGGCTTTGGCAGAGCTAAATAACACAGATTAATAACTGATCACATTGATTTATCAGTCTACTCAGGCTTTGGCAGAGCTAAGTAACACTGAGATTAATAACTGATCACATTGATTTATCAGTCTACTCAGGCTTTGGCAGAGCTAAGTAACACTGAGATTAATAACTGATCATCACACTGATTTATCAGTCTACTCAGGCTTTAGCAGGACTTCCAGTGTTCGTAAAGAAGTAATTTATTGAGTTCTTCTTTAGAGTACGTTTTCACATGCCATGTACTGAAAAGACTGATGGTTCTCTTTTGAAGATGGTGTATAATTTTTAATTTAATTACTATGTATGCTCGAAGTATTCCCCTAAAAATATAAAAAAGAGAGCATTGTGAAAAAGTAACTATTCTAAATGCTGCCTTTACAAAATGTAATTTAATCTAAACACAGATACTTAACTTCTGTATTCTGAATATAATATAACGTATTCCCAATACTTGTATTCCGTTAACTTACAGCCCAGCTGTGAGTTAACCTACAGTACACAGACATTTGATTCAAACACACCTTCATGACAATCCCTTACCCTTACTGTTCAATGGCTTCGAGTTACTGTTTTTGAGTAAACCGATAAATCTGTTAACAAAGGATTGAGAGTTTCTCGAGCTATATAACGTAAACATAGTAATAAATACTAATAAAAATCACCGACCTCAGAGTTTTTAACGGAAAGACAGACAGACTTTCAACAGGAAACAACTTTATTTAGCTAGCCCGTTAGCTAAGTTACCTCGGCAGGGACAACTAAGAACAGCAGCCTAACGTTACACCGCAAGTTTTCTACCGACGTAGCAGCCGATACTAACTATCTGATAGCAAAATAATATCTTAACACGAGAGAAACTGTAGTTATTTGGGGCTTCCATGCTTACAGAAAGCCTCGCCCAGCGCTGCAGACAGACAGACTTCAGATGTCTAACTTTGCTAGCTTGCTAACTATCGTTAGCTAATTAGCTTGTTCCTAGCCGTTACCCACACGGCGTTATTAATGAGCTCAAATCGCAGCCACTTACCAGATTAACTGCTGTTCTGTGACTGAATGTCGGCCTTATGCGCACAAAATATGTAACAGCAGGATATTTTTAACCGTGAGTTAATTTCGAGAGTGCTAAAGGATGAGAGAGGATGGACTGCAGGAATGTTTCAATACGGTCTTCTTCTCCTTGGGCTTCAGACAGAGACACACACATCCCGTAAGAAGGGCACTGCTGCCATCTAGTCTTTAACTACGTCTTTTTCCAGAAGGCTGGACCTGCTGGACCGTGTTGGGATCCGTTGTATGTGCCATTCATTCTCCTTCTATGATGAAAACGCCTCATCTAGATGCTCCGATGGTTTGAATAACTGTCTATAGTCACAGTTCTCTGAAACTTCTATGCCTGAACTCATAATCTCCTTCTGGAAGCTGCATTCGTTTCCATACCTCAAGGCCACTCACAGGCACCAAACTGCTCATCCACCATATAATACTTATATGTGAACATTTAGGATTCAATGCATCTATTACTTTTGAAAAATATTTTACATTTTACATTACCAAAAACTCCCACACCTGCCTAGTCATTTTAAACTTATTACCACCAAGATTGATAGATTCAGGCTATGTAAGGTGTGTGTGCAATGCTCTTTTTGACTTTTATATTGTTGAAAATATGCTGTAGCGTGTTCAAGAAAAGTTTATGTTCATTTTAAGCTGTGCATTCTTCAGCATGTATTCACTGGGTTCATTTTGCTACGGACTCTTATTGTGGAGGGTGGGGCAAGGAGCTGCCCAGAGCCACTTCATGAGGAGCCTGGCCTCTACCCCCAGTTATATCATAAATATGACCACGTAACGCCAGAGGGCGCCCGCGAACGAGTCCTCAGTGAGCAAGTGAATGAAGCTAAACGGCTAAAAACGAAAACTTAAAATAGTTTCTAATCACTTGCCCAAAACTTTCCTTTAATTTTAGAAAGTAGAAAGATGTTTTTCATTTAAAAAAGCAAAGAAAACTTACCTGCATGTTTCCTTTTTTCTACAGCAAACGGGTTTTGGGCAGCAGGACGCTAACATTGCTGCTACTGAGTGCTGATTGTTTGCCCAGCAGAGCAGCTCATTGGTTGCTCACTAATATCATGAACTTATAAGAAGCGCTGTTTTAAACTTCTATAACTGGAGACAGTCAGCTAATCAGGCAATTGTGTCTTACTGTTTTTGGAGGCAACAAAATGTGTTTTGTAATTTTTTTTCTCCTGGTGACCATTTATTAACATTTTTTCATTTTATTTACCAAAATTAGCCATAATTATTTTCCATATGACCATTTAACAATCTCTCTTTATCCCTTAAAATGAAACAGGTGTTTTTGTTTTGGTGCCTTTAAGACTGATATATATATATATATATATATATATATATATATATGACTTCTGTTCTGACCTGCTGTCCTGTGTTGTGAACTTCATCCAAAAAGCAGTCCAGGCTGAAACACTCCTTATAGCCTTATGAATGGGTGGAGCTAAACTGCTCGTGGCTGAAAAGGTCACACACACACACAATGTAAAGGATAACAGGTATTTTCAAATTATGTTAAAAATTGAAAAACAACAAAAATGGAGATACAAGGTTTTCTTCCGACGGCAGCGATGCCAAGGTTTTTGTAACATTACAAAACCAATGAATTTCAAACTGTTTTCCAAGATACAGGCCCTTGAGATCTGCATTGATGAAAGTGAGAAAATGTATTTGGTACATAATCAAAGCACGACACTGTACAAGTGATTAATCTCCTTTAATTTTCACATACATCACCAAGCTTTCATCCCAATTTATTTTAGCCCTAAGTAAGTAAAGGATGCCTCTGTGGGGGAAAAAAAATGCAAATTTTTGTCCTCTCAAATGGAAAAGACTTGCTCCTCGTACAAGCTCTGTCTACCTTAAAAGGAATATGGTATAGTTTTTCCATCCTAGTCTCTTATTTTCACTTAGAAAAGCCACAAAACATAACATTTGACCAGGGGTACCAAAACTTTTGCATTTGACTATTACAGGAATACCCCATAGTTTTTCAACTTAATCTCTATTTGGTCCATCTGTAGAATTATCAAAGACAATAATTCATGGTTGCTTACAATTGTTAAACAGAAAACCTGCTAACTTAAAGCAGTCTTAGAACAGAAGCTGAAGCAACTGCCCACTGGATTCTATTATAAGTGTTTTGAGTGAAAAAGTTTTCTGTTCTTTTAATAAGTACTGGGAGATTATGGTCTGTGGTAATCGACCACATAGCAGCACCAAATAGATATTAAGTTGAAAAAACGATGAAGTATTCTTTAAATACAGCTGTATGCAAACGTTTGGCCTCCCCTTTGTGTTTTGTTGAAGTGAAAATAAGTTAACACATGCTCTAAAGACCAGACACTTCTGCACATGTTTATTATTCACTGAATTTAACAAAATTTGGTCTGTGCAAACATTATGGCACATTTGATATTTTATGCTTTTTTCATGTTTTATATGTTAAACTTAGCAAACAAATAAAATTGTACATTAAAACTTGCAGAAAAATGCCAAATATAGCTGTGAAGGTTATTTTTGGCTGTTCAAACATTTGTATATGACTGTATGAGTTCAGAAAATGACGAGCTGTGACCTGCTAATAAACAATATGAATATGGAAAATAATTTCGGGGAACCCAAAAGGTATATGCCTATAACCCAACATAGTAAAAGCTACATTCAGACATTTTTTGACCTACCTGAAACACAATAATCACACTGCCTGCAATACAGAGAGGGCAGCTTTGGAAGCACTGTGAGAAAATGCCCAAAGCTCGTGTGGAATTCCTGGACCAAGCACAGGTTCTTCTTTTCCTCCCAACAAGCTCTGCAGCTGTGTCTCAGATCCTCACATTCACATGTGCACACACAACTCACAACAAGTACCTTCAATGATGAACAAGAGGGGGAAAAAAGGAAGAAATACACGGTTTAATCTACTGAAGAACAGAGACAGAAATAAGCTTAGCTTTGGACAGAAAAGGAAAAATACACTCTTAAAAATAAAAGTGCCACATGGTTTTTTTGTTTGCTTGTTAGTTTTTTTTTTACAAAAATACCACAGAGGAGCCCATTTCTGGTTCCTTGAGGATCATCTCAGTGGACGGCTCTTTAAAAACTCAACTGAAACCACTCAATTAAAGGGCTGATATTTTTGGTGTATTTCATTTTATTTTTACCTCGACTCCAATTGTAATATTTGTCATGATTATTTGTTTACATGATCAGTTTCCAACCTCAACCTCTAGAATTAAACATGCTGCCTTTGTATGTAAGACTGCTATATGTAAATGAGCTATGTTTTGACTGGTTCCCCTTATTCAAAAAGCAGTCTAAGCTAAAACACTACAACTTCTGCATGAATGGAGCTAAATTGCTGTAGGCTAAACAGGCAGCTAGATGTAAATATGTTTGTTTTTGTGACATCACACAAACATTAACTTCAAAACGGGCTGTTTTTTGCAGCTTATGTTTCTATGTACGGACTGCACAGACTGGGAATTAATGTGCTTGCAATGAGTGCATTTTGAATCTTAAACAATGTTTACACACCGAACATTCCAGCCAAACTGTTTAACGGCTGATTTTTATTTATTTTTTTTAACCTAAAGCTCAGACTGTGTAGCTTAAATGAACACATGAAACATTAGAGTACTAGTACTTTGTTAGGCAAAGCTGCAACATAAATAAAATTATTTATGGGTCAAACTGGTATTTTTGAATTCCGTAAATAAAACATCAGTTGCCTTTTTAAATCAATTTAGGGCAGCATTTTACTACAAATACCTGTTTAATATTTCTGAAAAAGTATTCAAATTCTCATCCTCATATGCAGCCTTAAAGGGCCTAGAATCTACATTTTTCTTGTTTTTTTTTTTTTTACCCCCAAAGTCCACTTCAAACATTTGTGTGTGATTTTATGTATCAAAAATAGTCATAATTCACTCATTGATTGGATGCCAATTTTCCAACCTCTTTTTATGTCTTGGAGTTAAACAGGCTGCTTTTTGTTACTGTGCTTTTAAAGCTGGTATGTAAATGTGTTCTGTTGTGAGTGGCTGCCTTGTATTGTGCCTTAACGAAAAAAAAAATCATTCTGGGCATCAAGACTCCTTATTACTTCAATTTGAATTTGCGGAGACAAACAACAGTAGGCAGAACAGGTGGAGGTACGTATCAGATAATTAAATGAATTTTCATGACATCACACAAACAATGACTTTAAAAGAGACTGTGTTTATAATGTAGTTTCAATCTTTGAACTGGGGAGTAATTGGTATGTTTTAGATTTTAATGTTTGCAAAGTACATCAAACTCATTTATTAAAAAATGTGAGGGAAAGTTTTCCATGATACGGGCCATTTAAAACAATATAATTGAAGCATTTATAGCAGTCGGTGAGATGGAACAGATGCGATTTAATAAACATTTCGGTTCACAACGGCTGTGCTAGACAAATCAAATAAAAAGCTACGTCAAAAGTAAGAGGCAAATGACTGTTCAGCACAGTGAAACTGCAGTAAAACTAGACATTTGCATTTACTTAAAAAATGGCCGTTAACGAGGTTGGTGCGGAAAACCGGTGGAAAAACCCTCCACATCAGTGCATTTAGCAAATTAGCTCACTCACTAACCACATACAGTAATGACACAAACGTGATCAAATCAGATAATTATACGTTGATGAGTGCAGCCACTCAATAACGTTTTCTGGGTTTGTCAAACACTAGGGGGTGCTGCTGAGCAATTCCACAATGAATGGATTAATATGGAGATTTTGTGCAAAAATCAGTTTGTAAATGCTTAATTAGTGAGTGTGTTTAATGCACTTAATAATTCGATAACTGCAGAAAATTCGATCAATTTACATGCACTTGGGTAATTAAATCATGGGTAAACTCCAGGTCTACATGAGTCAGGCAGTAATCTGATTTCTGCTTTGCAACCAGCCAATAAACCCACACAAGAAGACGCAACATAAACGTAAAACCCAAACTTAATGCTGTGGATGTGTTTGTTTTTAAACATCACACTACTTTACCTGAAAATATGAACACACATCATCTAGAACAGGATATCAAACTGGTGACGTTCCTGGCCAAAGTGCTGCAGAGATCAGCATTTACCTTCATCTAACACTATGAATCCAGTTCATGACGGACCTGCTAATTAGCTGATGGGCTGAATCAGGTGTGTTTAATGGGACAGTGTGCCGAAGTCTGCAATGTTTAGGCCCGCAAGGACTGGAGCCTGACACATGATCTAGAAGATAAAGAATATTTCTGGTATAGAAAAATGAGCTAATTTTCTGAACACAGAACAGCATAAAATATTTCACCATTGCTGTTACGTTTTAAGTGCTTTTGAACTGGTTATACTCGGAACAGCGCCTCATGTACGTTCATGACATCAGTGAGCATGAACCGCTTTACTTCGCCAATAAGCCGATCAGCCCACAAACCAATCAGTGCTCAGTAGCAGTAATGCCAACCAATCAGCACCCAGTAGCAGTAACACTAGTGTCCCACTGCCCTAAACCTGTTTGATGTAGAAAAACGGAATGATATGATTAAGATGGTAAAGATACTATAGATTTTTTGGAAGCTCCAACACAGCTGGTTAGAATTAGTTAAATTTATGTTTAGCTCCATTCAGCCCCATTCACTGAAGACTAGCTCATGGGTCCCCTTAAGCATTTTGCAGTCATGTTTTTGAAATAACGGGTAAATAGGAAGTAGCCAGGCTCACCTTAAACTGGCTCTAGTAGCGCTGTTTGTAGAAAATGCAAATTTAAGTTTTTGCACCCAAAATTAACTCACCCCAGAGGTCTGCGAAGTGAATTTCCCCATTTGTGGGACTAGTAAAGGATTATCTTATCTTAAGTGAATTTGCTCATCACAACAATTTCCACTGAAAAGAATTTCACTCACAAAAAAATTGCTGGCAAACACAAGTGTGCCTTTTAGTACAGGTGTAACAGGAGCATTGAAATACAGCATGACAGCTTTTACCTGCCTCACATTTTTTACCTCATAAAATTACAACACCAATCATCCAAATTAAAAATAATAAACTGCCCAATTTCCAATTGTGCACCCTCAAATAATTATTCATGAAATCTCCACAAAGAACCCACTTTGCACCGGTATTTGTAAGAGTGTACTGTTCATAATGTTGCAGGACTTGAGCAATGAAAAGAAGGTAGCTGCATAACCTCTGAGGTACTGCATACCCTGCACATTTCTCTGCGTAAGTCCACCATTACTGTACATATGAAAGGGTTTCACAGTGATGTGAAAAGAGCACTGAATATGGGTGTTGGGTTTATAACTTAATACTCTGGAAGTGATGGAAAAAAAAACAAAGATACGTTTCAGCTGTACTAAACATTAGTGTGCTGAAGCAGGCTTAAAGAGTTTCTCCTGACCAGTCCACTCCAATCATGGCGGGAGGATTTGCAGCAGAGCATCACGAGTGTTTGGGTTCAACTTTTCAGGAAACTTCACCACAAACTCCAGCACCATGTCCCCTCTCTTCTCTGGACACTTGGACAGAGGCAGCCCTTCACCCACTATCCTCTTCTTCATGCCTGGCTTTATGACGTCACGGGACGTCACTGTGACAGTCCTGCCATCCAGTGTGGGGGCGTTGATCGTGCAGCCACACAGGGCCTAAAGAGAGAGAGATGAAGCAGAAAAAAGTACTACTACTACTAATAATAAGAATCATAGTAATAATAATAATAATAATAACAGTAATACTTAGTGATGCACCAAAATGAAAATTATTGGCCAAAACCAAAACTGTAATTTAGAACACACTGGGACAAAAACAAACAAAAAAAGGAGACTAAAAAAAGGTTTACATGAAAAAAATAAATGAACTTAAAAATAATCTAAACCTACAGCAGCATGTAGGGTACAGTACAGATCTGGATGATATATAAAAACAATTAGCATAATATTTACTAATTATAAAGTTCTATTAATAAAGATTGATGTCATCAATTATGCCCTGTCCCCACTATTTTCAGTTTACATGCTGTTTTAAACAATAACTGTTTAAATGAAAACCTTCAACCTTCAACCTTCAACAACAATCACATATTAAATAACAGAGCACTAAATATCCCAACATCTTGATTTTTTTATATTTTTATGTATTTTAATAGGTGTTGTTGCAAACATACATTCATGAGCTCCTTCTGGTGTGGGTTCATGATGACGTGGGTTGATGGAAACACTTCAGACTGCAACACGTGCTCTAAATGAGTGATTTCCAAAAGCTGTGCTCTTGGATTTACATGTTAAAGATACAAATTGTTTACTATCATTATAGCTCAGTCAATCTAGAATTGATCTATGGACGCCTTTGGAAAAGGACGTTGTATATTATTTCCATGATTTTCATAAATTAACTCATCTGAACTAGTAACACGCAAGAAGTTAATAAACCATTATGTGTACATATTATTTAATATTACTTAGCAAGCTGTTTAAAAGCAAATTATCTCTCTCAAGTTCTCTGCCAGTTCTCTTTCCCAACATGGTGATTATCGCCTTTTAAGCATGGTCACTGGGTTACTTGTCAATCATCAACGATATCCGATTACATTGCCCTGTCACCCAAGTCCGGAATAGTATTTGCCACAAAATACAAAGTTCCACAGTCATCCAAAGCAATGATTTATTTAATTATTAATAATAATAATTATTATTTTTTTAAGTTTGGCACTGTCATTTGTGAATGTCTTTTTTCAAAACCGAGGCTAAACCGGCGTTGTTGTGCTCTCATTTTTATTACTGTTATTTGTCTCTGACTTTGTTTGGAGGCCTAAAATTTTCGCTGTTTGGCATTTTCCTGCATCCCTAAAAATAATTATAAAAATTAAATAATAATAAATGTAGTAAATAATCAGCATGAAGCATCAACACATGTAATAAAGGCAATACTCCAGCATAGCCTCTCTCTGCTCCATCTGTAGCACTGGGTCAGTCACTACAGAAAACAATTACTCTGCACTTAGAAAAGACCAGAAAACCTGTTGACTCAAAACACATTTGTAAAAGCCACCAGGCAGCTGCTGATTTCCATTAGAAAACATTTGAGATGTGTTTTGAGAACACTTTCATGTACATTTCAGTCAAAGGTATCTGGAAATGACGCTGTAAATATGTAATTTGCTCTTTCAGAGATGAGACTGTGTCCCAGAGGGAAGAATCAGTAGTAAAATGCTATTAGAGTAGTGCTGTGGGTGGAGGCTCCTGACCAAATGCACACAGATATCAGAAAACATAACCAATACTGGTTACATAACCAATACTGCTTTTTTTGCTGTTCACATTTTGGAAGTTGGATAAAACTTCATAAGAACAGTTTTGATGAGACATTTTTGTAGGTCCACATCGTTATAAGATCTATACTGGTAGAGTATAATAGTGGTAGTGTTATATTAGCATTATATTCACTCACAGAACTCAGCAACTGCACACTGGCTTCTATTATACTCTTGTACAGGAAGGCTTGGTAACTCCTGATCTTGTTTTGTTGATTTTCTAAGGGAAAATAACACATTCTCTACAGAAAATGCACCCTTTTATGCACAATTACTGTTTATTTGCTGAATGTAATGTATTGGCAAAAAAAATAAAACAGAAAAAAACGGACTGTGCAAAAGTTATGACTTTTTATATTTTATTTTTCCAATAAGTTAAACTCAGCATATAAACAGAAATTGTGCAGTAACACTTGCAGAAAAATGCCATATTTAAGTTTGTTCACTGTAGAAGGTGTGTTAACTTACTTTCTCTTAGAAAATCAACAAAACAAGTTAGTGAGTGAGAGATTAGGTAAAAGTTTAGGTAAAAAAATGCTGGATTTTTCCCATTACTTTGTTCTAGCGCCTCAAATAACTGTAATAGTGTGATTAAGCAGTCACCCAAAGAAATCAGTTCACTCTGAAAATATTACTAAAGTGAAACAATGACTATAAAGCTGGAACAATGACTATATAATAATTATATATCCATACAATGCAAGAATATCAACGTTCACCTAATCTTAATCACTTAATTAATGCTGCTAAGCAGTTTGAACACAGGCTAGTGAGCAGTAACTGGTGTTTAATGTAACTGAATCCAGCCTGGAAAACAGACACTCACGTCTCTGAGGGATATCCTTGCAGGGTAGATGACATCGGAGCCGTCTCTGCGGAAGACTGGGTGTGTCTTGTCTTTGACCACGAATACAATGTCAGCAGGGATGTTGGTGGGCGTCTCGTCACCTTCTCTGGGGAAAGTGATCTTGGTTCCCTCCTTCCAGCCGCGCTTGATGTCCACCGTCAGGATCTTATCTTCGGTGCGCACCGAGCAGCCGTCAGGGTTCAGCCGCTTGCGGGAAATCTTCATCTTTTTGGTGCAGCCTGAGAACACTTCCTCCAGGCTCACCTTCAGCTCGTGGATGACCGGAGGGTCTTTCTTCTTTTCTCGGCTTCCATGAGCACCTCCCACGCGAGACTTGAAGGACCTGGGGAAGCCGCCCATACCGCCCATGCCCCCCATGCCCCCCATGCCAAAAGCAGCAAAAGGGTCATCAATGTCCATGTCATCATCGTCACCGTGAGCGAAGAACTGGTCAAATGGACTGCGGCCACCGAAAAACTCCGCAAACATGGCGTGTGGATCTCCATGGAACGTGTAGCTGGGGCCATTGCCACCTCCACCGCCAGAGTGGCCTTTAAGTCCTACAGCAAAATAAACATGGATACACAACAAATATTTGAGTACTAATAGTGCCACCTTGGTACTGGGAAGAGAGAATTTCTCTCACCATCTGACATCACCTGAATACGACACAGTCAGAATCATAACTTTACCCAACTACAATGAATGTCAAACATGCATTAATGCATTACTGGGGAATGAGCATTAAGCCTTGTTCCTATATTCATTAACTATATTCATTATATTCACATTTTTCTTAAATGTTTTGTTTGCATCATTGTCCAGTTTTAACATGCACTTACATTTGCTCAATATATATATTGTGTATGTATCTCCATTTTTTGTCGATTTTTATTTTTCTACATCGTTTCAACACACAAGCTGTCCTTTAAATTGTATGAAAATTTCATGATGAATGGTCCAACAGAAATGCCCTAAAATCACTTAAAATAAAATCTTTACATTAACTTACATTGAAAGTCAAGAGTGTTTTTACCTTCCCCTTTAAAGTTACTGTTGTGGAGATACTTGTTTTTCTTTGGACAGCAACGATATACAAACACGCACACACACACACACTATATACATATATATATATATATATATATATATATATATATATATATATATATATATATATATATATACATAAAAATACTTGTGTGTGTGTGTGTGTGTGTGTGTGTTTGTGTGGAAAATCAGTCTGAAATACAAACTGAATCAGAAAAACTCATCTACTAGCAATATGTTAACTAACTCACTTCTTTGCACTTAAGTAGCTTGAATTTTAATACCTTTCCTGGTACATATATATATATATATACATACACGCACATACATATATACACACACACATTATACATATATTAATAAAACATTATATATATATATATATATATATATATATATATATATATATATATATATATATATATATATAATATATATATATACACACACACACACCAAAGTAGTTCCTAATTTCTTTTTAGGATTTTTCACTCTGCTCTTTGGCTCCTGAACTGCACTGCTGTTCTTCACATCTCTCGCTTTCGAAGATTTGCTATATTCTTTCATTTTAGACCAAAAAGAAACAGAAGAGCAGAGCCCAACAAACTTCAGCTCCTGTGCTGTCAGATGCTGGATGGAGTGAGAAGTTCCACTGCAGCTCTACAGTGAACCCGCACATCTGGAGCTCCTCCAACACCCTGTTATCTTATGTTATACCATGATATGCTGCGCTGGATATGGACTCACCCTCTTCTCCGTATCGGTCATATATCTCCTTCTTCTTGGAGTCGCTCAGCACGTCGTAGGCCTCGGCGATCTCCTTAAATTTATCCTCGGCTCCGGGAGCTTTGTTTTTGTCCGGGTGGAAGCGGAGAGCCTGCTTTCTGTACGCCTTCTTAATCTCATCATCAGAAGCGCCTTTCTGGATGCCCAGGACCTTGTAGTAATCTTTACCCATCACAAACCCCTACAAAACACACCGCTGTCGCAGAAACCGCAGAGCGTTAAGCTGCCGAGATCATGTTCAACACATCCACTCAGAGAGCGCTTTATAGGAGAGAAGCAGCAGCTTCGGGTCCAGAGACCTCAGCTCTGACAGACAGTCCTGTCTCAGTAATGTCACCGACCGCAGCCCGAGTCCGGCACGACTGAACTCCGGCTTCACACGAATACGCCTCGGCCTTAGTGAACGGACTCAGCCGCATTCCTGACACGTCCAGCAAAGATTCGTGCCAGTATTAAATACCGCAATGTAAACTTTTCACGTGTCATGTAAGACCCGAACCTCAACCTCAGGAAAGTTCGAGAAGAACCGCATTTCTTCGTTAAAAATGTTGTAGCGAGTTATGCGATCTGGCGCACAGCGCCCCCTACGGAAATGGAGAGCAGCTGGTGACAGGCGCGGCGGGCTTTTGAGGGAGTCTCCAAAACACCTCTAGTGTCTACATAGTGGCTTAACTACCTACTACCACGGGAGATGAATACCACAGATATACATACCTATAATACATACCTAGATGCCGCGTTGCCTGTTGTTCTCTGACTGAGGCGATACGGCTGCACGTCCGCCATGTTGGAGCGGTCAAGATCCGCTTGTGAACAAGTTCACTTGTATTGAGAGATGAAGAGTCTCAGAATTAAATCGGCCACAACTTCCTTATTACTCAACCGATTTTCACCAAATTTGTTTTGTTATACTCCTCAGACATAGATTAATCTAGGCTGCACGGTAGCTTTTATGCATGTATGTATATCTATGATGAATATGTTGGACGAAAGCCCTTATTCACTTTTAGCTCAATTCACCCCCATTGATTTAGGACTTGCTTGCCCTTTGGCATTTTACAGTCATTGTTTGAAATAATGGGAGAAATAGGAAGTAGCCAGACTCCCCTTAAATTGGCTCTGGTGGGTTACGAGCTTTCCCATTCATATTTTAACCTGTGACTGCCTCCTCCTATATAACATCTTTGGTTGGACGCCATCAGAAAATACCAATACTTCTGGTCAATTTAAGCTGCTACAGTGATGAGACATGACTTGAGAAACCTATGTTCCCTGTATAACATGTGGCATGTAAATTCTCCTAGCTACTAGGTAGGGAACTAGAGGTCAATTTAAGACACAGCCCCTAGTCCGTCCCCTTCTTAGCCTCAAATCGCCTCACTTGTTCCATACTTTTAGAGAATTATTATTTAGGGTACTGAATGTGAGTGACGGTCGTAACTTTACTATGCATTTGCTGGGAAATTAACTTATATTTAAATGTCATTTTGATTTATATATTTTTTGTTGTTGGTTGATTTGCAGCGCAGTGAAGGCCTCCTGCATTTTGAAGTGCAGTGCCTGAGCAGCCAATGTGTGGAGCTCGAGAAGTGGCCAAAAACATCTAAGTAAAGGCATTGTTAGCTCAATAATGTCACGGTTCAAGTAGAAGTTAAAGTACTCAAATACAGCTTGAGGACTTTAAATACTGACTTCTCTATAGAACTACAGCAGAGCACCATAGTACACCCAGCATCTACCAGCACAGAAAGTGAAGGTTTCTTTTTGTCGGTTGCTGTTCTTCTTGGCATACTTCTGGTCAAATTAAAACTGTAAAGCTCAAAAGTGAGAAGTGTTTGTGCAGGGCTGCTTCTTTCTATAAGCTGTATAAGCAGTTGCTCAGGCACTCAGGCCACCAGGGGGCCCCATAAGTATGCAGTATTTTTTCTTTTTTTATGCATTGTTTGTGTTTATTCATTTACTTAATATATTTCCTGTATAAACATAAGTATTGTTTTATTATCTCTACCTTAGCATTTATTAAACTTTGTTCTTGATCAAAGATAACAAAGTATGGACTGGATTGGGAAGGCGGCCCCCAGGTAGGATGCCTCCAAACGTTCCAAAACAGCTTTGTAACTTTGTGTGACTAATAAGGAACTAAAGAAGATGAAAGAGAAGTAGAACTGTTTTCACATGAGTAAGTAAAGTTATCATTTGAAAGTAATTAGAAAAATACAAGGATATCCAGGATATTTTGCTTAACAGACTGGTGAATGGAGAAGGAAGACAAAAGCTAATGTTACTGTTAGGAATATACAACTGTGGTAACTGTCATCAAATCATCATTACAACAAGCGGACAACAAGTTAAAAGCTAAACTTAGCATGGTAGCTGCCTGGCTAGATACCTTACCTCAGTTTGGTTTCTTTTTTCTGGCCAAAAGAGGAAAGAAACTCGTCTCTTGTGCCCATTTTGTACTAAATAAAGCTGTTTTCTTTACAGTTTAGACAACTGACATAAAAGTTACTCTAATGCTAGCTTGGTTGCAGGGGTGTCACCTGGCCTGGACTTCCAGGGCTGTAGCTCTGATTATGTTTTAATCAGCCCCGAACCTTATGTTGTAACACAGGGGCACATTCACTACCCCTCAAACTCAGAGAAAGAGAGAGAGAACCCATCAGGCTCAGGTCGGGTGGTGGATCTCTAAAATGTTTATCATGGAATGATGTGTTGTCTCATTGTGTTTAATGTTGTTTGTTGTTCTGTTTGAGGTAAGAAGAATTTTACTAAATGACTATTTAGCTTTTAAAATATATAAATAACTAGATAAAAAGTTCTTTGTTAGCAGGACATTGGAGAGCTATCTAGAAGAGATAGCTGATGTGGAACCTTTTTTAATAATATTGTTTATAAGACATGCTAGTTAACATTGGTACATCACTGCAACCTTTGTTAATGTATAAATTCTTACATTAAATTTTAAAAGTTACACATTTTACAGGTTATTTTTACAGATACATATATGAAGGAGGATATCTCAAACCAAATCTACAATAAACTGGGCTGAACCACAGACCATTACATTTTATTAGCACATAGCTAGAACAGCAGTAATGACTGGTTGACACCACAGAGGTTGCTAAGTGGTTGATTGATAAATTTACATAAAGCATGCTGGGTATTGTAGTAAGGGAATGTTGATGAATGAAAACATAAAAAAGGTATAAAATTGTTGAGGCTGAGGGATAAATATCACTTCAGACTGCTTATCACGACAAATAACATATTAAACTTTAGTTTTGATGTTATATTGCTTAGTGCTTCCACATAAGGTTTGGGAATCAATGTCAATGTCACACTTCATAATGAGGTCATTCCACTTCGGCAGGGTTCTTTCTTTGTTTACATGCTGCAAATAGACACAAGAGCTTAAACAGAATGCTGTTTATTGTGCTGTTTTCAGACTTGTCATGCTAAAAAGTGAATGAAATGAAAAGGAGTGTATCTTATCCATTTCCAGAGAGATGCCAAACAACAGAATATGGTTAAATTAGCCTTATTGTCAATGTGGTTTCATACAAACTCCTAAACAAAGAGTGGAGTAATGTTCTGGACATGCTAACATTACCTTCTTATTTATTCCTAGCTGGTATGTGGCTAAAGTGCCTGTTCTTTTGAGTACTTTAGATTTTTCAAGTCACTTGAAGCCCATGCAGAGTTTAAAAATGGATATTCAACTCAAGCACTAGCATATTGAACTCTTTAGCTACTGACGCTTAGCTGCTGTTGCATTTCACTCAGCCTTTTAACAAACACTGCCAGCCTAGATGGTTAGCAAATGACACTATTACAGCCATAAATATCTATGATTACAGCGCTGTACTGTATAAACACCACAAAAATCTTTAATAATAGATGTTGCTTGAGGTTTACACTGAAAATGCTAATCGTCTGTTACCTCAGCTAATGTTACTAGCCTAGTCACAGCACACAACTTACTTCATCTCATACCTTTTAGCTTGAAAGCAGTAAATTATGAAGAGTTAGCTGATTCCAAACGTGACAAACTAACTTGATGTTGAAAGTTTTATTAAAGTAGCGTGTAAAATGTGCTTGAGTTCATATATTTTATGTGGCATCTGGCTGTACATGACAAAACGCCCCCTTTATATATATTGTTGCTTTGGGGTTGGCACTTGTTTTCACTCGAATTAAAGTCTTGTCTGTTCTTGATGGCATGTGTGGTTCAAGATCGAGGGAACGGTGTGAAATTCTTTTCATGTCATGCTTGGACAGGTGCAACAGTCATCACTATGCTGTGTTCTAGCATCTAAATAGACGAAAATAAATAAATAGATTTCTAAGCTTAGTTTGCAGATGCATGGTCAGCAAATCCTGGTCACTCTGAGGTCACATATGAGAGGGGTCAAGTATCCACAGTGAAGTTGTGCTCTTTTCATCCACTGAGTTTAGAGAAGACACATCTGAAGCTGAGTATACCTCGAGGAACTACCCTTCCCAACACTATGAGGCAATGTGAGGTAAGGCCTGGTTCTTTTCTCTTTTAAAGGAATATTTCAAAGTTTTTTGACCAACTATCTGTCTTATGTATCTGTAGTATACAATTACCATGATATTAAAGAACAGAAAACCTGTTGACTCAAAATACCCTTATAGTAGACGCCAATGGGCAGGTGCTGAAGCCTACACCAGGGTCAAGTTGAACTGTTTTAGTTCAGTACATGAAAACATGTTAAAGATACTGTCTATAGTAACTGACCATATGCTACACAAACAGCATACAGAGATTTGGTTGAAAAAAAGTATGCAACCACTTGTCACATGTTGTTATTTTATCTAATAATAACTTACAGTGTAGAGTGAAATACTTTAAGCTAGACACCAGAAGGTATTTGAAGTTGTGTGTTTTTAAAAAATATTTCAGGTTTTGTGAGAACCAAAGAAGTCATAAAATAATAGATACATTAATATTTATTTATAGTAATTTTCTAAATGACGTCTGTCTCGATCAACCACTTTCTGAAGCTGGATGTTAATTTTAGCATAACTTTATTCTCACTGTCTTCTGATTGAATCATCTACAGTGATTTAACCAAATACTATGCTATACAACAGAATATGGTTAACATTATCCTTATTGACAGTATGGATCCATACAAACTCCCAAAGAGTGGACGAATGATTTGGATATGCTAACATGAATAGACCTTTTTCCAGCTGGTTTGCTTAAGTGCTTATTCTTTTGAGTAATTTAGAATTTAAGTAACTCCAAGGCCATGTACAGTTTACAAGTGGATATTTCACTTAACCATGGGCAGATTTGGCTCAGTTACTGGCATATTTCACTCAGTTATTAGCATATTTCACTCATCATATTTCACTCAGCTATTGACATATTTCACTCAGTTATTAGCATATATCGCTCATCATATTTCACTCAGCTATTGACATATTTCACTCAGTTATTGGCATATTTTAATCAGTTTATAGCATAATTAACTCAGTTATTAGAATATTTCTCTTCGTTATTGGCATTTTT